GTGATTGGAAGAAACTAGCTGATGGGCGGGGCGAGGGGCGGGGCGAGGGCCTCGCAGCTAGAGCGACACCTGGCGGAACCTCGAGGTCTTTTCTAGTGTGGGAAAAGCAAGGTTGTAACGCTTGAGGCCCTGTAGGTGGAGAACTGATGGAAGGGTCCTTGAATTTTTTTTTTTTCTCTTTTTTTTTTTTAGCTAAGCAAATTCGAATGTGAAGAGCGCATCACGGGGCTGCCCTCTCCTCTTCTTAAAACATTTTTTAAATTGCGCTTGAAAAAAACCTATAAGTTTTACCATCTTAGCCATTTTTTAAGTGTGCAGTTCAGAAGTGTTACCTATATCCACAGTGCTATGTAACAGATCTCTAGAATTTTTTCATCTTGAAAAACTGAAACTGCTCCTACTGAACAATGCCTTCCTTATCCCCTGCCTCCAGCCCCTGGCAGCCACTGTTAAATTTGTTTCTATGAGTTTAACTACTTCAGATACTTCATATAAGTAGAATCAACAGTAATTCTCTTTTTGTGACTGACTTCACTTAGTATAATGTCCTCAAAATTTATCCATGTGGCAGGATTCCCTTCATTTTAAGTCTGAATAATATTCCATTCTATGCATATACTACATTTTCTTTATCTGTTCATTCCTTGATGGACATTTGGGTTGCTTCCACCTCTGCGTTTTGTAAATAATGGTGCAGTCACATGGGTGTGCAAATATATCTTCCAGGTGCTGCTTTCAGTTCTTTTGGATTTATACCCATAGTGTGATTACTGAATATAAAAATTCTCTCTTTAATTTTTTAAGGCTCTCCACACTGGTTTCCACAGTGGCTGCATTATCTTACATTCCATCAGTTTCAATTTCTCCACACCCTCACCAACAGTTGTTATTTTCTGGTGTTTTTTTAATAGTGGTCTTCCTAGTGGGTTTGAGATGATAATCTCATAGTAGTTTTGATTTGCATTTCTCTAATGATTAGTGACACTGAGCATGTTTTCCTGTAATTATTGGTCTTTCATCTACTTTGGAGAGCTGTGCATTCAAATTTGTTGCCTTTTTTTTTTTTTTTTTTAATTTCTTTACTGTTGAAAGTATTACAGGTGTCCCATTTTCTCCCCCCAATTGACCCCCTCCACCTTGCTCCTACCCCCTCCCCAGGCCTTCACCCCATTATTGACTGTGTCTATGGATTATGCATATAACTTCTTTGGTTAATTTCTTTCCACCCTCCACCCTCCTTCCCTCTTTCCACTGAAATATGATCGTCTGTTGCCTGCGTCAGTGTCTCTGGATCTATTTAGTTCGTCAGATTCTTTTGTTCATTAGCTTCTTATTAAAGAAGACCCTTCAACATTTCCTGTAGTGCTCGTTTGGTGGTGATGAACTCCTTTAGCTTTTTCTTAACTGTGAAGCTCTTTATCTGACCTTCAGTTCTAAATGATAGCTTTGCTGGGTAGAGCAATCTTGGTTGTAGTTCCATGTTTTTCATCACTTTGAATATTTCTTGCCACTCCATTCTGGCCTGCTTTCTGTTGAGAAATCAGCTGACAGTTGTTTGAGTGCTCCCTTGTAGGTAACTAACTGCTTTTCTCTTGCTGCTTTTAAAATTTTCTTTGTCTTTAACCTTTGGCATTTTAATTATGATGTGTCTTGCTGTGGGCCCCTTTGGGTTCCTCTTGTTTGGGACCTTCTGTGCTTCCTGGACTTGTAAGTCTATTTCTTTCCCCAGGCAGGGGAAGTTTTCTGTCATTTTTTTAAAATAGGTTTTCAATTTCTTGGTCTCTTTCTTCTCCTCTGGCACCCCAACAATACAAATGTTGGGCCACTTGAAGTTGTCCCAGAGGCTCCTTATACTATCTTCATATTTCTGGATTCTTTTTGCTCTTCTGGTTGGGTGTTTTTTGTTTCCTCATGTTCCAAATTGCTGATTTGATTCTCAGTGTCCTCTACTCTACTGTTGATTCCCTATAAATTATTCTTCATTTCAGTTCATGTAGCCTTCATTTCAAATTAGTACTTTATTATGTTATCACTTTTCTCAGTTGTTTTTGTAATAATATGCTTGAGCATCCTTATTAACAAAATTCTGAACTCTGTATCTGTTAGCTTGCTTGTATCTGTTTCATTTATTTCCTCTTCTAGAGATTTCTTCTGTTCTTTCCTTTGTGACATGTTTCTTTGCCTCCACAGTATGGCTGCTTCCAGGTGTTTGTTTCTATGTATTAGGTAGAGCTGCTATGTCTCCTGGAATTTGTAGAGTGGCTTTGTGTAGTAGGTGTCCTGAAGGGTCCAGTAGCTCAGCCTCCCCAGTCACCTGAGCTGGGCCTTCTGGGTGCTCCCCTGTGTGGACTGTGTGCTCTGACCTGTTGTAGTTGAGCCTTGGCTGCTGTTGGTGTCAGTGGGAGGAATTGACCCCAAGGCCAATCGGCTGTGAGGACCAGCTGCAACTACAGCCAAAGAGCTGCTGTG